TGTTCCAGGCAAACTAGAGAGGCTCCTATCTTGCACCATACCAAATTAGTTTCTCTCCCTCACATAACTTATACCTCTCAACATCATAATTTCTACTCAAAATAGCAGAACATGTGATAAGCTACTCAATTCATGATTTATTATGAAAATGTTACTTTTTAAATGTGCTCCAGCAGCAGGAAGCCTATTGATGTGTTTTTCTCCTCTGTACCCAGCTTTGTTCATAAAACCATAGAATGGCCTGGGTTGAAAAGGGCCTCAAAGATCACCTAGATTTAACCCCCCCTGCCACATGAGGTTATCCAAACAATGGTTGTTATTCAAACCAGACCAGAAAAGTATGTAAGATGTACGTTAAAATAAAACTTACTGCCATTCAACATCTTAGCACACATTTGCACCACACTACATAGCAATACTGCACATTCTATTGTTTTCTACCTTAAACACTTTGAGCACATCACCCAAATAATACAACCCATCAAACTCATCTGTACATTGACATGGACATTATATATTAACTCAGAGCCCCAGAATAGAAATCTTGGTACTTCTCCAAGGATAAAAGCATCTCTATGGAATTTAATGTCTTAATACAAATCCGTATTTCTCTTCACCAGTATACCAGTTTACAGCAGCAATTACGGAGGTATTTCCTGAAAGGCTGTGCTTTCACCAGTGCTGTTGAGTACACCGAGACCCCCCCTGCTTCCCAGTGAGTTAATCCATGCTGAACGCGCCTTCTAATCCACGTTCCTCGCCCTCCTCCCAGCACCGCGGCCCGCTCACCCCTCGCAGCGGGTACCTGCCGCCCTCCCGCGGTCCCTTCTACACAGGGAACAACGGCCACCAACACACAAGGGTTGCTCCCCAGCCTCCTCCCCGAGCGACGGCACTAACGGCCCAGGCCTGATCCGCAACCCACCGTTAGGCCGGGAGAGCGCGGCTGCCACCGAAGGTCACGGAACGGAGACGGCCTCCGCTACCGCCACGGGGGATGCCGGGAAAGCACGCACCAACGAGGGAAGATCGCGAGCCAGAGAGGCGGCGGCGGCGCACAGCGCCCCCTGCAGCTGTGGAAGACCAGAGCACCAGCGCGGCCCGCTCTCGGTCAGCCTCAGCCGTTCGAGGGCCGTGCTGCAACGTTCAAAGAACTGACTGCACTGAAAAAAATCCATGCTTAGGCCTGTTCGCACTCTGTACTGCCTAGGCATGGAGCGCGCACCGAGACAATACTGGGAAGGGCCGTCAAGGCTCCTGACGCCCGGGGGCAGCCTGTCGCCAGGAGGCAGCCACCAGGGTGGCCTTCTCATGGTGGGCTGAGGCTATACGCCTGCGGGCTGTTTTCTTAGCTAAGAGGAACGACACATTGATCGCGATCCCAGAACGCCTTTCGGCCATTGCTCTAGGGCTGTAACACACAAGCTGACCGCGCTTCACTACTCCACAAACATGGCACCGCCCTCCCTTCAATGGGTCAGGTGCTGTGGGCGGGGCTTTCCCTAGCGCGGGAAGAGAGCGCGGTGAGGGGGTGCGAGCGCGCGCGTGTGGTGCGCGGTGCGAGGCGCCGGCCTGTTGTCGGCATCATGCTGCGGAATCTCACTATCGAGCAGGTGAACGAGTGGTTCACCATTGGCAAAGATGTGACCGCCGTTGAGTTCTTAGGTGGTCGTGCGCAGGCTACAGCCTCGCCTGATTCATCCTGTCTCCCCAGTCCGTTTGCTGTGCAGGAGTCGTTGAGGTGAGTGTGGTTGCTGCCCCTCAGCCTCATAGCGGGGTGTGGGGCTGTGTGTGGAGTGCCTCTCCTCTGTTTGTACGTTTTTATATGTGTTTAGTGATGTATGCGTGCTGCTACAGAACAAACAGGGCCTCTGTAGGAAGGCCTCTTTTGGTAGGTGGGTTTTGTTTCCATGCGCGTTTCTATTTTACGCTTCTGGGATTGTGCTTAGGGAGCTTGGGCATCGTTTGAGGAATTCTGATGAGTTGTATGTTCAAATGGATGCACTTGGATTTGTATTTGTTGGCTTCTTGAAGGTTTTGGAGGGCTGAAAGCAAAAAATTTTCTCTTACCTTGCTGAGGTTGCTTGTACTGTGATTATTTCAATATTTTCTTCAAGGCATGTTAAAATTAAAGGCAAAATGATTGACGTTAAAGATGCTTGTTATATATAAATAGTTTTAAGCCTCTTATATAACTTATGGTTGTTAAAATTATTTCCAAGTTCTTATCTAAATTGGCATGCAAGAGCACGTAGGATTTATACCCAGTCAATCATGGAAATAAGAAGTGTGTCATAATAATTACAGTGCTCTGTAATAAGAAATAATACTTAACAAAAGCTTTATGAAATACTTTTGCTAATTGAATGTAAAGGCTTTGTGCCTTAAGAAGATATGCAAGATGTTCTTTTTGGTTACCAATGATGCTTCATCTTTTGAGGCTAAGTTTATCATGTTGTCTGGACTGCCTCTAGAGTAACAATATTAGCAGTTGAGCTTAAGAAGAAATAATATTTCTCTGTGGTTATGGTTAGAGGTTTTATCCTTAAATGGCTTGTTAATTTTCTTCTTAATTCCTCTGATTGCATTTAACTGAATGAAATGAAATGACCCTTAAATCTTTCTTCTTACCAAAGCAATTGTGGTTCAGATTAAAACACTTAAAAAGCGCAAACATGGAAAAAGATCATTATTCTCTCTTTGATTTCTTGCATGTTGCAGGTGTAGCATTTGCTGAGTTAGGTTTTTTTTTTTTAATAGCTACTTTATTTGGCTAAAAACATAGCAAGCTGTTCTGCCTGACACCTGTGCAGGTGGGAGGCTTGCTGCCCTTTGAAGTTGCTGTCACTCACCTTTCTGCCAGTGGAATGATGTGTGCCAGCTGCATGTGGTACCAAAATTACCAGTTCTTACCCTGTCTTTACTCTTTCTATGCTGTTCTTTTTTTCTAAGTAAAGAATACATTGCACTTTGAAAATATTCTGTAAGGTTACCTCCCATGTTGGTGTTCGAAGGAAAAAGAAATGAAGGAAGGTCTCTGAGGATGGCATTTTCTCAGCCTTTGTATAATATTTTTTCTACCTATGCCCTCTTTATTTCCCAATTTAGTTTTTTCCTTTTAGTTTCCACTCCAACTGTTGATGTTAGAACTGATTACGTAGCCTAGTATCAGTGAAGTGTAAGAAGTATGTAAGTCTTTTTGTGCTTTTCCTATTCATTGTACATGGAATTACTAGATTAGTAGTGATGCCTACATATTTCAATTATTGCTCCCAGATTGCCTTTTAGCATATGTTTCAGTTGATGGTCCTTATTTCTGAAATGGAAAGACTTCATCTGAATTATGGAATCATTCAGATGATTCCGTAATCCAACTCAAAAGGCCATCCAGTCCATTCCCCTGCAGTGAACGGGGATGCCCACAGCTCCATCAGGTGCTCAGAGCCCTGTCCAGCCTGACTTTGGCTGTCTGCAGGGATATCCCCCACCTTTCTGAGCAGTCTGTGCCAGTGCCTCACCGCACTTATTGGGAAAAAACTTCTTCCTTATCTGCCCCCATTTAGTTTGAAACCTTTTCCTCTTATCCTATCACAACAGAGCCTGCTAAAGAGGTTTCTTTAGCTGAAGCTTCTTTAAAAAATATTGGTTTATAACCTCTTGTAGTTTTATACCTTTTATAAAAAATACATGCAATCTGTTTTACCCAACTGACATTACATTATAAGTAAATTCTGTGTTGGGTGAAAGATTCAAGTGGGGAAGAAGGGAAATACCTTTGAGTTGCATGTTACCAGATTGAGGAGCTCTGAATGAACGTAGTCTTCAGTATGCTTGAAAAGAATATCATATGTGACATTTTTTCTCTGAAATTGCAAAATAGTTCTTTTTGTGAATTGAGGAATAGGAGACTTGCCTGTTTCTATGATGTGACAGACTGATGGAGAGGAAATCTGGAGATGGAGAGTTTAAATAAAAGGTGTGTAAAAGTTTGTTTCCGATGGTGATGGGAGCCCGATGGGAAATGCAGCACATGGCTACGGTGTATGTTTTCTCTGATTTTTTTGCTTTAATTGTCTGCTCTGACCATAACTGCTGGTGTCCAATCAGTGCTTTAAGACTTTGTTATGAACTCAGTCACAGATAATAGCAACTGAGAAATGGCAAGTTTCCGAAAATTTGAAATGCTCACTTGCTTTTGAAGTGATTTGTTGACCCTCTTGCTACTCCAGAAAGTACTGTGACTTACCAAAATGCTGAAGTTTAGTGTCTGGTTTTCAGGGTAGCTTCAAACAACGGAAGAAGCGCAACCTTTTGAAATGAAATTTTGTGAGAATTTCTTAGGGGATAGAGAGCTAATTGTTAAAAGTACTTAAATATCCAAAGGTTACATTTAGTCGTCAGATTTCACAGTATTTCCTCATGTGCAGTGCAGAGTTCAGACAAATGAAGAAACTGTTCATGCTGTGAAATGTTATTTTACGTTGCTTTTGCTTTAGGACTTACTCTTGAAATTGAGAAATAAATATTCAGCTCCAAAAGGTACTTATCCATTTAATATAACATCAAATATACTTAAGAAATCTTACATTGTATAAATTCCCTATAAAGCTTAGAAGCTATGTAATAAATACAGCAGTTGTTGTTTAATAGTTTGTGGACTGGTGCTACTCCAAAATACAGAAAGCAGTCTTTTCTTGTTTATGATTCTATACCTACAGATATGCCAAAGATAAAATGCTTGTTTTATTAGCAGCATCTACGTTTTTGGTTAAAAGGTTCCTTCAAACACAGTAGCTTCAAGGAATGTGGAAGGTAAGAAAAGAGAGTTCATGCTACAAGTTCATATAATGCATACTAGCTGTAATCAAGGATTTTAGTTTCTGAGCTCTTAAGGTGAAAAAGGGAACATGTCACATTTCTTACTGCTATGTTTCTGGATGGCAATCACAGTGAAGGAAGGCAGACAGCTACAGAGCTTTTTGAAAGCAACACAAAACAACTTAACTTGATGGGTAGTAGTATGGTAGATTCCAGATCCTATCAGAGAAAGTGGGAAACATGCTTTGTGTGTTTTTGTCGACATAACTTGAGACTGTAGGGATTTCCTCTTTCTCCGATCTGTTAGAACTGTCTCCACGCAGATTGAAATGTTCAGAGCAATTTGTATTCCACACATTTACCAGTTGCTCTTGTTGGTTTTCTCTCTCCATGGTAGTAAGGAAATCTTTTAAAACTTGCTTGAATATGTAGACTATTTCCCAAGGCAAAACATCATTTTCTGCCAGAACTTCACGAAATCTAGAAACAAACAAGCACTGAAATCTAATCACTGATGCTGACAATGCTCCTGTTTCCTTGCTAATCTGATGAGGAGAGGGAAAGGGGGAGGAAATGACTGTGCTCTTATGTCAGTTATTCCTTGCTGCCACATTTCCCCACACACCTCCCCCAGAAGATTGTAGAGGAAAAGAGCTCTAACAATACATTGGAGGCAATCCAGCTATTTTGAGGATTGTTGTTATTCAGTATTCTTTTGTTTTCCTTTGCCATCTGGGTAACTTGATTTAAACTGACTTTGCCCTTAGGTATATTCTGGGCTTTAAAAGGCACATAGGATTCTTCTGTCATTTGTGTGCCCCTAGAAAGTGTATTTAAATAGCATAGGAGAATTTTTGATGGTAATCCATTTTTTTTCCCTTTTGCCCCAGAATGGAATTCTGTTTAACACTGTTTTTTTTTTTTTTTTTTCTAGGGTTACAGGCTTCAAATATTTTGTACAGCGAGGCTTAACGGTACACTGCATTAATTTGAGTTTTTGATTCTTGGATGCAATTTAATAAATACTGGGGATGAGTAGTGGAGAATTTAAACTATTGAGAAGTCATAATATAAGCGTGCAAAATTTCCTTTAAGATTAGGCTGGGAGAATCCTGATGTTTAAAAAAATATATATATATATATAATAAGACCAAAACCAACCTTCATGTACAATATAATAAAGCACAGGTGTAATCTCTGACACACATATAAAGATACACTCAGATTGCTGTTCATTCCTAAATTGGAAAGAAGATCACAGCCATATATAAGCTTGGATTAGGCAAAAGAAGTAACTTAAAACTTACTGAAAATCAACTACTCCAAGTAAAAGGAATAGGAAATGGTTACCTGCTGAGAACAGTTCCAGTCTGGCAGGGTTGGATTTGGGAGCACAGAACTTCGAGCTGCCGCTGCTCAGTAGCTGGAATTGTGGCTTGAGGATTTTGGTAGTTCTTCAACCAGTTGTAATCCATGCCGGTTTTCTGGACTTTTTGCTCGTTTTCAATCTCTTGCACTAACCTTTCACGCTCCTTCAGGTGCCATTTCAATTCCCTCAGCAAGGTTTTTGTAACTAGTTCTGATCCAGGATACCTTGAGGGTTTGTAGGAATCATTTTTTGGCCATTTCATCCAGCCAAAAAGCGGCATCTTTAAGCTTGTGAGGGGGAAAGAAAAAGAAACTTCGCTTATTTCTGTTAGGCAGGCAGCATTGATGCCAGGGACTTCTTTTTAAGCAGGTGAGTGTTTAAAGGAAACTTTGTTCCTCGTACTAAAATACCTTGCTGCAGGATAGGAAAAAAAACCATAATCACCAAACCGGTATCAAATGTGACAAGGCTCACATTTTACAGCATTTCTCATGTTTTCTGGATTAACACTTACGAATCTAAAGCTCATTTGAAACTGCATATTTATCATCTTGAAATCACTTAACTTTCTTTTTATGGATAATGTAGGTGAGGTTTATAAAAAAAAAAAAAATTAAAAATGTGAGGTAATGCTTACATGTTAAGTGAAATAAAATAAATAGTTCAGTGCTGTAACTCAGCGCCTATCCTGTTCTTTAAAACTTCTGCATCACTTTTTATTTTAAGCAAATTCTTGTTTATATAACTTCTGGAAGCAGATCTAGTGGAATAGATTTATAAACTGCAGCTTGTTACAAACCATGCGGACAGAAGAACACAAATTTGAATAAAAATAAAATGAATTACCTTTGCAGTTGTCTGAACAGTGTTGTTTCAGGTGAGTTTGCTCGAAGGTCTCCTACTGTAGCATTTCCTGTTCCTGGGCTGTTACTACTGGTGGAAGAAAACAAGGTTTTTTCTTTTTTTATTCACTCAGACTGTGCTTAAAACGTCTTTCTGCAGTGCATATGAAAGCTTAAGTTTTTTTTGCTTTTAAGGTTCTTTTTCATCCTCAGTACCCAAGAGCAGCAGTAATCCATTTAACCTAACGTGGTCTTCCTAATACTTCTACAAAGTCCATTAAGGTTTCCTACCTTTGATTTGTGTTCCGCCGATGGCAGCAATTCAAAGAAAGATGGTTGCAACTTCAGATGCTTGTTGCTAAAGCCATCCAAAGGTATTGTTGGCAGGGAGATGAATAATGATTGTCTGAAGCAACCGCAGACGTGCTTCTAGCTAAAGTTAAGGCTGTCGTATGATGTGATGCTTGGCTGTGCATAGCTGTAGGTCACAGTTTAGAGCTGTATTTTTATGCTTGTAGAGTGCTAAAAATAACTATGTTGCTTTTATCATCAAACTAAACTTCCAGGCCCTTGAGATGCTGGAAGACTTTTCTCCCATTGGGGAGGGGGGTCAGACTGTTCTACTGTCACTTTTAAACAGCTAAGAATAGTCTTTCTCTGGTAGAGATCATCTAAAGCCTTTGCTAACAGAGTGTTGATGAAAGAGAGCTATTTGACAGTTGCTCGGGATTTTGTTGCTACATTAAATACTTTCTCCAGCTGAATTTCATCCATCTCATGCTACTACAATTCTTATTACTGTGCAAAGCATAGCTGTTAGCATTTTTAATTAACATCTCAAATGTGTTCAAAGAAGCCAGTCTGTAACACCTACGGTGTGCCACGAAAGACGCATTAATCTAATTAAAGGAATAAAATGATAAAGAAATGCAAATTGAAGTCAAACTGCTGTAAAAAGCCCAGAATTTTGAGTCTTACCATAGACTTTGCTTCAGTCTCAACTGGCTGTCAGTTGCCTTTTCTCTCTTTCCTTGATGAGTTTTTTGAGCATCTCCGTTTTTAAGGTTCATTTTCAGGGATGGCATCACGCACGCTAAAGGTCGCTGAAGCAGCCATTTTCCGTTCCAGTTATCTGGTCTCTTCCTATTAATTTTAAAAGGTGGACACACTAAGTGCCTTCTCTTCTGCTCTTTCTCGTTACAGTGACTGTCTTTGCTCCTGTGAGTATTTTTTTGTTCCTACTTTTTTGCCTTCACTGGTGTGTTGAGCTGTTGAAGGAACAGGGCTTCTGTAAATTTGTTCTAGATGTCATGCAACATAGAAGATGACGTGTAGGGCTGTTATTAAAACTGATACCACTTCTACATTGAAAAAATTCAATTGTCAGTATTAATCCTCTTCAACTGGAAGGTTTTCACATTGCATTGTATGTGGTACTATGAAGAAGGAAGGAAGCTAGGTTTATGATGACAGAACTGTCCTGACAGATTTTCAGACGAAATAAAAACGTTCTTTGCCACCTCCTTTACAGCACAGTTGCCGTGTCACTGCTTACTTTCCAATTGGATACAGTGGGGCGGGGGGAAGGGAACTGCTGCATGGCATAAAACCTCTAAAAATTAAGGACACGTACTGAAAGGTGTGGAAGTGAATTAAACGAGGAAACTACAACAGTGGCTTTTTTGGGTTTTGGTTGTGTCATAAAGCATTGAGTGCCAGGATACTGACGATGATGCTTTCCTTTCCGCTGGAAGGGGAGCAGTTAATTGTATTGCTTCTAGTTCTGTGCATGTTTGAGGTCTGCCTTCAGGAAGAGATGACTGCTTGTGTGAGGTTTGACATTGGGAACTGGGAGGTGAAGGAGAGCAATAGATTCACAGTGCTGTATTGGGATGGGAGTTTTGACTTTCACAGATAGCAGGGCTTTGATGAGGATCATGGTTAGTACTTGCAGTTGTTATGACTTAGCCTGGGGGAAGAAGCCTGTATTTTGATTCCTCTCATTAATTGCTAGGCAGTTTTATAATAAAATTACAAATGGTATGAAGTTGTTACTGCATACTTGTGGCAGTCTTGAGTAAACTCAGGGATGCTGTGTTTTTTGAAAGCAGTTTAGGAATGTAAGGTTCTGAATCTCTTCTCTTTGTTTTCATTTCCCTCTTCTGAATCTTCCTCTACTGATGTTAGTGTCTAAAACCAAATGTAGTACTAATATACTAATATGGTACTTGAATGAGACCGTAATGTTATTTATATAATGATGAGCAACTTTTCATCTTTAAAGAACCTTAAGTTCCTCTGCCACTGTAGCAGAACAGTTCTTTATAAAAGTATCAATTAGTAAATTAATCCTAATGACTTGTGTGTATAATATAAAATGTCAATTAAAGAGTATTTTCTGTTTTATTTTCATTTAACATCCTGAGTATACTGTGTTTTCTGAACTTTCTAGGCAAGGGATGTAACGAATTTTGAAAGTGCGTTTCTGCTTTTTATCCTATGGGCTTCCTGGTATCAAATAAATTTGTTCCAAAACCTTAATACATCTCTTTCCTGCTGTACTTATTCTACCCCCAACCTCAGTTAATTAAGAGGTATGCATAGAGTTGATACTCCTTGAACCATCTGGGCAATCCACCAGTTTACAGAAATGTTTTTATATAGGCAGGTGAATGAGGAGTTTGTGTAACCTGGTTTGGGGAGAAAAGAGGGACGTCTGATTTTCCTCTTTCTTGAGAGAGCAAAATACTTCTTTCTTGTGTTCCACAAGCAATATCTGTGTATGCAGCTTCCAGAGCAGATTACTCTGGCTGCGTCTGTTAAGTACTTGCATGCTTCCCGAAGCCCTTCTCAGACTTAGTTAGAAATGGAGGCTTGGAATAAAGCTCTGATTGCATGGCCTTGTGGCTGGGTTCACTTTTCTCCTTTGCATTCGGACCGTATGAAGAAAAAATGCTTCATCTGAGACTGGCTGAACAGAGCTAGGAAGTCTAGGACAGAAGTTTCTATGGAAGAGCCTTTCCTGCGTAAGGAGTCTAAGCTTCAGCACCCAGCAGAACAGCTGAAACCCGTCTCTGCAGTCCTGGCTTCTGTGCAAAGGTGAATTTGTTCCTCAGGGATGTGGGTGCCTTTGGTGGTGGGTGCCTTTGATTTACTCATGGCTTTTAGCTGTGCTAATTTCATAACATTTGGGTTACAAATACAGAAGGAAGGAATCATTGAGGCAGCTTAACTTGTGGTTCCATACTTCTGTACACAAAATCAGTACAACTTGCATGAAAATTCTCTAGAAAATATTCATGTGGTTTTTTTCCTTCAGCAGACAGATGCAGCCTCTATTTAGAGGGTGGTATTTGTAATGGTGGGTTGTGGATCACCAGTCAGAAAAATGAGCGTGCCTTCATGCATAACCTTTGTTCAATGTATTCTAGTATTTTATTTACCCTTTTAGAATGAAATATGATGCATTCTAATCAATCTGATTAGGAGGAAGCTTACTTAGCGGTTGTGCTACTAGTTCTTAGTTGATTGAGAGGGAGAAAGGAGGGTCATTCTAGTGCAGTATCAGCATAGGGCATCTTTAAAGAATTCCTGCAAAGACAGCACCACACCTACGATGATGGTTACTTTCTCTGGGTATCGTTTGCAATGAAGAGGTGCAGCTGAACCCAGTGCTTGCTGTCAGAAGTCTCACAGTTGCTAAGCGGCTTTGTTCTGCTACATGTGGCTTCATGGATGTCTAGTTCATTGGTCTCATTTGCAGCCTGAAAACATCCAGTACTCAGCATGTTGTCTACTCTGGGAATTCTTTTGTCTCTTTCTGCTTGCCCCCAGGCTGTGAGGGGAGCCTTGACAGTGAAATTTCAGGTGTATGACTGTGAAGACTTAGTGCCTGGGTAGAAGCGTTGTTTGCTTTTAAAGGTCTACAGGTTGGAGACCTGGATCTCCTTGCCAATACTCTTTCAGCTTATGTTATCAACGAGGAGCCCTCAGCCCTGTGTTAAAGGCACAGCACAGCTGCAGAGGAAGGGTAGTTCCATACACTTCTGGTGCGAGTGCAATAGCAGCACATGGAATTTAGATAATTGATACTTAATGCAGGCAAGCAGCATGAGTCAGTGAGATGTGTGTTCTGAGGGTGTGGAGTATACTTGGTTTTGAGCTTTGTTGGTGCAACAGCAAAACAATTCTGAAGAAGTACTTATAGGGTAGTAGTAAAGTGCTTTCATGGAAATTTACAGCAATTTCCTTCAAGGATAGGTAGTGGGGTAAAGGAAATTAGGTGGATTCTTACTTGAGAAGAGTGGAGTACGGCACCATGAGTTAATCATGACTTACTTAGATGTCATCTACTGCAGGAGATGAAATAGTTTGTGGCAAGATAATATTTCGTAGCTAAGAAGAAGTGACTGCAGATGTTCTTTTTATTCTATCCTGT